AAGTGTGCAACACTGCGCCAAGCTCCTATTTTTCCCAGATGTTTGATTCAGTATCTTCTGCATAGTCGCTCCAGTCCTCCACCTTTACCATTCACACGTCTCAGAATGCCAACTTCCTCCACAAACCACTTACAAATGGACTACGTTTCTCAAACATTACAGTGCACACAGATCACTGGGGATCTTGCTAAAAGAAAATGCAGAGCTGATTCGGTAGGTCTTGGAATATGTCCTGAGATTTCACATTTCTAACAAGCTCCCAGGCAGTACTGATGATTCGGATGCATGGCAACATTTCAAGCTGCAAGAAACAAGTACTTATGGTGGCTGGCAAGATGACCAAAGAGGAACAGCTCCAGTCTGCAGCTCCCAGCGAGATCACTGCAGAAAGTGAGTGATTCCTGCATTTCCAACTGAGGTAACCAGCTCATCTCACTGGGACTGGTTAGACAGGGGGTGTAGGCCACAGAGGGCGAGCAGAAGCAGGGTGGGGCGTCAGCTCACCCAAGAAATACAAGGGGTCGGGGAACTCCTGCCCCTAGCCAAGGGAAGCTATGAGGCACTGTGCTGTGAGGAACGGTGCACTCCAGCCCAGATACTACCACTTTTCCAACAGTCACGGCAACCACGAACCAGGAGATTCCTTCGGGTACCTATGCCAACAGAGCCCTAGGTTTTAAGCACAAAATTGCACAGCCATTTGGGCAGACACTGAGCTAGCTGTAGGAGTTGTTTTTTCATACCCCAGTGGTGCCTGGAACACCAGCAAGACAGAACCGTTCACTCCCCTGGAAAGGGGCTGAAGGCAGGGAGCCAAGTGGTCTAGCTCAGCAGATCCCACCCACACAGAGCCCAACAAGCTAAGATCCACTGGCTTGAAATTCTCTTCAGCAGTCTGAAGTCAACCTGGGATGATCGAGCTTGACTGGGGGAGGGGCGTCCACCATTACTGAGGACTGAGTAGGAGGTTTTGCCCTCACACAGTAAACAAAGCCATGGGGAAGTCTGAACTGGGCAGAGCCCAACTCAGTTCAGCAAAGCCAGTGTAGCCAGACTGCCTCTCTATATTCCTCCTCTCTGGGCAGGACATCTCTGAAAGAAAGGCAGCAGCCCCAGTCAGGGGCTTATAGATAAAACATCTCCCTGGGACAGAGCACTTGGGGGAAGGGACAGCTGTGGACGCAGCTTCGGCAGACTTAAACATTCCTGCCTGCCAGCTCTGAAGAAAGCAGCAGATCTCCCAGCACAACACTTGAGCACTGCTAAAGGATAGGACTGCCTCCTCAAGTGGGCCCTGACCCCCGTACCTCCTGACTGGGAGACATCTCCCAGCAGGGTCCACAGACACCTCACACAGGACAGCTCTGGCTGACATCTGGCAGGTGCCCCTTTGGGATGAAGCTTCCAGAGGAAGAAAGAGGCAGCAATCTTTGCTGTTCTGAAGCCTCTGCTAGTGATACCCAGACAAATAGGGTCCGGAGTGGATCTCCAGCAAACTCCAGCAGACCTGCAGCAGAGGAGCCTGACTGTTAGAAGGAAAATTAACAAACAGAAAGAAATAGCATCAATATCAACAAAAAGGACATCCACACAGAAACCCCACTCAAAGATCACCAACATCAAAAACCAAAGGTAGGTAAATCCATGAAGATTATGAAAAACCAGCAAAAAACGGCTGAAAACTCTGAAAACCAGAACACCAATTCTCCTCCAAAGGATCACAACTCCTTACCAGCAAGGGAACAAAACTAGACATAGAATGAGTTTGACGAATTGACAGAAGTAGGCTTCAGAAGGTGGGTAATAACAAACTCTTCAGAGCTAAAGCAACATGTTCTAACACAATGCAAGGAAGTTAAGAAACTCAAAAAAAAGGTTAGAGGAATTTCTAACTAGAATAAAGAGTTTAGAGAAAAACATAAATGACCCGATGGAGCTGAAAAACACAGCACGAGAACTTCGTGATGCGTACCCAAGCGTCAACAGCCTAATCGATCCAAAGAACGGATATAAGAGACTAAAGATCAACTTAATGAAATAAAGTGAGAAGACGAGATTAGAGAAAAAAGAATTTAAAAAAATGAACAAAGCCTCCAAGAAATACGGGACAATGTGAAAAGACAAACCTATGTTTGATTGGTGTACCTGAAAGTGACGGGGAGAATAGACCCAAGTTGGAAAACACTCTTCAGGATATTATGCAGGAAAGCTTCCCCAACCTAGCAAGACAGGCCAACATTCAAATTCAGGAAATACAGAGAAATACCACAAAGATACTCCTTGAGAAGAGCAACCCCAAGCCACATAATCATCAGAGTCACCAAGGCTGAAATGAAGGAAAAAATGTTAAGGGCTGCCAGAGAGAAAGGTCAGGTTACCCGCAAAGGGAAGCCCATCAGACTAACAGCGGATCAGAAGCCCTACAAGCCAGAGGAGAGTGGGGGCCAATAGTCAACATTCTTAAAGAATTTTCAATCTAGAATTTCATATCTAGCCAAACTAAGCTCCATAAGTGAAGAAGAAATAAAATCCTTTACAGACAAGCAAATGCTGAGAGATTTTGTCACCACCAGGCCTACCTTACAAGGGCTCCTAGGGTAAGCACTAAATAAGGAAAAGAAAAATTGGTACCAGCCACTGCAAAAACATACTAAATTGTGAAGACCATCAACACTATAAGGAAACTGCATCAACTAACAGGCAGAGTAACTAGCTAATATCATAATGACAGGATCAAATTAACACATAACAATATTAACCTTAAATGTAAATGGGCTAAATGCACCCATGAAAAGAAACGGACTGGCAGATTGGATAAACAGTCATGACCCATCGGTGTGCTATATTCAGGAGACCCATCTCACACGCAAAGACACACATAGGCTCAAAATAAAGGGATGGAGGAATATTTACCAAGCACATCCAAAGCAAAAAGAAGCAGGGGTTGCAATCCTAGTCTCTGATAAAACAGACTTTAAACCAACAAAGATCAAAGAAGCCAAAAAAGGGCATTACATAATGGTAAAGGGATTAATGCAACAAGAAGAGCTAACTATCCTAAATATATATGCCCCCAATATAGGAACACCCAGATTCATAAAGCAAGTTCTTAAGAGACCTATAAAGAGAGACTTCAACACAATAAGAGGGAGATTTTAACACCCCACTGTCAATAGTAGACAGATCAACAAGACAAAAAATTAACAAGGATATTGGGGACTTCAACTCAGCTCTGGACCAAGTGGACTTAATAGACATCTATAGAACTCTCCACCCCAAATCAACAGAATATACATTCTTCTCAGCACCACATCTTACTTATTCAAAAATTGACCACATAATTGGAAGTAAATCACTCCTCAGCAAATGCAAAAGAACAAAAATCATAACAACAGTTTCTCAGACCACAGTGCTATCCAATTAGAACTCAGGATTAAGAAACTCACTCAAAACCGCACAACTACATGGAAACTGAACATCCTGCTCCGAAATGACTACTGGGTAAATAAAGAAATTAAGGCAGAAATAAGTAAGTTCTTTTTATACCACAGAAATACAAACTACCATCAAAGAATACTATAAACACCTCTAAGCAAATAAACTAGAAAATCTAGAAGAAATGGATAAATTCCTGGACACAGACATGCTCTCAAAAATTACCAGGAAGAAGCTGAAACCCTGAGTAGACCAATAACAAGTTCTGAAATTGAGGCAGTAATTATTAGCCTACCAATCAAAAAAAGCCTAGGACCAGATGGAGCCACAGCTGAATTCTACCAGAGGTACAAAGAGAAGCTGGTACCATTCCTTTTGAAACTATTCCAAACAACAGAGAAAGAGGGACTCCTCCCTAACTCATTTTATGAGGCCAGCATCATCCTGATAACAAAGCCTGGCAGAGACACAACAAAAAAAGAAAATTTCAGGACAATATCCCTGATGTACATCGATGTGAAAATTGCCATAAAATACTGGCAAAACAAATCCAGCAGCACATCAAAAAGCTTATCCGCCACAATCAAGACGGCTTCATCCCTGGGATGGAAGTCTGGTTTAACATATGCAAATCAATAAACGTAATCCATCACATAAACAGAATCAATGACAAAAATCACAGGTTATCTCAATAGATGCAGAAAAGGCCTTCAATAACATTCAACACCCCTTCATGCTAAAAACTCTCAATAAACTAGTTACTGATGAAACCTATCTCAAAATAATAAGAGCTATTTAGGACAAACCCACAGCCAATATCATACTGAATGTGCGAAAGCAGGAAATATTCCCTTTGAAAACTGTCACAAGACAAGCTTGCTCAAATACCAAGCTTTTCCTCACCCAGGGAAATAAACTTGTCCCTCTGCTCCCCTAAAATGTTAACATCAGGGTTGTGACAAGCTTCTGGGGCCACCTTTGTGTCTATTCTTACCTGTCCACTTCACATCTACACTTTAGCCCTTAAAAGCCTACAGGCCAGACTTCTTGAATAAATTTCAGCATCATTCTAGATTCTAGACAGATTCTGAATGACACCTTCTTTCTTCCTAGAATCCACTCTAAAACCTGTAATGATCCACACAAGCTGGGAACACAGGACTTGAGTTTGAGGTTCACTCCTAAACCTCCACACTGAATAGCACTCAAGGTTAAGTGGCTTCTTTACTGGGCTTAGTAGCATACACATGTTCCCCTAGAAATGCTTTAAGGTAGAAATCCTTCTAAACAGAGTCCAAGTCCAAGTTTTGAAACAAATTAAAAATTATAATCATCACGCTCAGAGGTGAAAAAAAAAAATCAACCTTTTGAGAACTGGATTCTTCTCAGGCTTAAATAAATACTCCTATGTAACAACCAGAAAGGTAAGTTAGCAAAGGCTATTTTACATAAAAATTACATTCAGAAAGAAATTAGCAAGATATTTGAAAGTATTTTAGGGTAGGCATGTTTTTCTCAATGTGAAAATAAATCAACATAAATATTTTCAAAATATCATATCATACCATTTCTTGTGAAACATAATCTGGGCTTTTTGTATCAGCAGAATAAAAAGAAAAGTCATAGGTGAAGGTCTTGGTCCGTTCTCTTCCTGAATCCCCAGTGCCTCCTTCTGGTATCTAGAAAGAAATGATTAGGATGATGATGATAATAACATAAAGAGCACAGCCATTTGACCCAAATTTCCACATTTATACCCTGACTAAAAACCATTTCATTCCTGCTGGTTTCTCTAAAAAATAAATAAATAAAATCTATAAACTAAACTCCTTGCAGCAATCTAAGTTCTCTGTGATATGACCCAAGAATACTATCCTGGCCTTTTTTTTAAAATCACGATAAACTGCTAAGAACCCAACACTCCAGCCAGACTCTGTTTTTCCAGCTTCAATGATTTTCATTTACTACTCCCTCTACCTAAATCCACCAGAGCTGGGCTTTGCACAACTACAAACGTGTAATTCACATAGATCATGAGGAGACTGGCACCTTCCAGAGCTGTAAGATTTGGTGGTCTCATTGAAAATTCCATGTCAGATGTCTCCTCTTTCATGACACTTCCCTTGGGTACTCCATGTAGAAGTAATTTCTCCTATCTCTGACAGCCTAGACTCTTCCAGGACACATCATGTCGTAAGTTTATTGCAGATGTTTGCATATATCTAGTCCCCCCTGCTATATGCTTAAAGTGCACCCCAAAACCATGTTTAAAACTTATTTATATGCTCCCAAAGCCTATTTATTGGACATATGCTGAATAACTTCAACGAGCACCATATTTTCCACACGTTTCACATATTTAAGAAAAAATTGTTATGATTCTTATGAAAACACTAAAAGTTTGGGCATCTGTTCTGGTTGGTCAAACACCAGATGATAAAATGTTTATAAAACTCGAGAAGCAACAAAGTAATCAAGGAAAACAGATTCCATAATGCACAAAGAAAGGAGAATCATCCAAGGTCAAGGGACCTTTACCAAAGCACTGTGAGCGTATAAAGAAGCATGAAGGAAAGACAAAGTAATTACCAGCAGGGAATGGACAAGTGACAACTGAGTAGAAACATGAGAAGATGCGAGAGGTCAAAGGAAGGGAAAGCAGCACAGTGCAGGCCAGGCAGAGCTGGAATGCACAAGGGTTGTGCTAAGCAGAGAAAGAAAGGCCTCCAGTGGGGAATGCGTCAGGCAAAGAGGACACCAGCGTCTCAACAGAGGAAATCAAATGATCCAGAGGCTGCTCAGTTGGAAGATGGGAGCATTTCCCAGCTTCTATCATTGGAGATCAATTTGTACCACTTCGAAATTGGATCTCAAAGTACCCAGTCCTTTGAGCCACAAATTAATAGAAATCCACTCCTCAGATGTGAACAGGAGTGGATCTGACTTGACCCTGGAGAATCATGTCTCAGAAACCCAGACCTAAAAGTTAATGACAAATATCGAAGGAGAAAGGCACTAAACCCATAAAGTACTTGATTTCTTTCTTTTATTTGAGATAGGGTCTTGCTCTATTGCCCAGGCTGGAGTGCAGTGGCACAACCAGGGCTCACTGTGGCCTTGATTTCCTGGGCTCAAGTGATCCTCCCACCTCAGCCTCCTGAGTAGCTAGGACCACATGTGTGCCACAGAGCCCAGCTATAATTTCTTTTAACATTAATTTTATAGCCCTGTTTCCCACCTCAGTAAAAAGCATTCTGTGTCCTTTAAAAATTTCCTAACTAAATAAGCAAACAGGATATTTTAAGTGCCAAAGGAGAAAACTGCCATCTTGGAAAAAAAATTTCTTAACTTTTTTCCAGAAAAGAAATTTGATGATTTTTAAAAAATCTTTCCTCTCCTGAGTTTTGTATAATAAATACCAGCTCTTCTTCAAAGATTAGCAAGCATAATCATTTTCATTAAAAATGGGAAAAATCTAGTGCCAAAGCATATTTAATGTTCACAGAACACAGTCGATTGCCAGGCTAAGTCTCCACCACAAGGACACAGGATGAAATGCCCTCGTCTGGCATAGACTCAGGAGCTTCTAGACCAGAGCAACAGCTTGGATTTGGTTTCTAGATCAAATAAAACCAGGGATGGGAAAGGAAACAGGATCAATTCTTCTGCTTCAAAACTGAGCCGAAGCCAAGGGCAAGCTGACTGCACTGGAAATGAGGGTGTGGGAACAGCAGACAGGCTTTATTTACGCGTAAGTCATCCACACAGTAAAGCACACATGCGGCTCTCGGAACTGAAGCCAGACCAGGTCACTACTTGCCTTTAAGTTTGTGATTGTTGTTTTGCTTTTCTCCATCTGAATAATGAACTTGGCCTCCAAGTCCTTTTCCCTGAAACACAAATAATTCAGGACTGGTTAGAAGAGAAATGATTATTAAAAACAAAACTAAACTAAGCCCATTTGTTTTATCTACTTTTTACATATAGGAGTTTATTTTTAAATGGCATGTAAGGAGCCACCCCTGATAGCACTCTTCTCAAATCCTTACGAATATAAACATGAAGACACGCAAAATGACGCCACCATCAACCATTACGACTGATACACAGCATGTTGTTAAAACCTGAAACAATTTCCAACTGTAAGCCAAAAGAAGAGTGAATGAAGTAACAGACACCACAAAGGGCTAAGACTCACTGAAAAAGGCAGCCCCACTCACTTTGTTACAAAGAGAAAGACACCTTAGCTCTCTACAAGATGAAAACCAAAAAAAAAAAACAAAAAACTGAGAGTGGTTACAAGCAGGTGCTGCTTCCAGAGCAGCCAGGGCACTGTTCCCTCCTCCTGCCTTCTTTCTACAGCTGTTCAGAAACTGCACTTCTCAGAAAACAGCAGCACAGGGGAACTCCTGAGGAGTACAGATCCCTAGAATAAATGACCATACATTTACCCAATGGAGTGTGACGCCATTGAACAAGGAATGAGGAAGACGTCTATATACTGTTACGGCGTGGCCACTGGGATATACTGTTCAGTGGAGATAAAAGATGGAGAAAAGGTATGTAGAAAGATACAAATTATATTTAAAAACCCATGTATTTTTCAAAAGGCTACCTAGGAGAAAAAGGGAAATTGAGAATAAAGATTTGGCACGGACAAGGAAAGTGAACAGGATAGAAGCTACATTTCTGCAAATATACCTTGATCTGAAGGTCTTTAGAATGATAAAAATAATTTATGCAAAAATAAAATAAAAATTAAAAAAAAATAAAATAATGACGGGGCACAATGGCTCACGCCTATAATCCCAGCACTTTGGGAGGCGGAGAAGGATAGATCGTGAGGTCAGGAGTTTAAGACCAGTCTGGCCAATATGGTAAAACCCCATCTCTACTAAAAAATATAAAATATTAGCAAAATTAGCTGGGCAAAGTGGCGCATGCCTGTTGTCTCAGTTACTCTGGAGGCTGAGGCAGAAGAATTGCTTGAACCCGGGAGGCGGAGGTTGCAGTGAGCCGAGATCCATGCCGCTGCACTCCAGCCTGGGTGACAGAGTGAGATTCCATCTTAAAAATAAATAGATAAATAAATAAACAAACAAATAACAAGCTAAAATTCAAAAGTAAGTTGAAGCAAATGAATCTAGTTATGTACCACAAAGTGACAAACTATTTCAATTATGACTCTATAGAGGAATTTGACTGTATATTGTAATGAGATATATCCTAAAAGAAAAAGAACTACAAAGAAATCTTAAACCATTTGTAGTAATCATATTTTGGGTGGTAATGTAAGTGTCATTATTCTGAGATTTCTGTCTGTGTACTGTGGGACATTACAGGAGTAATTAATCATGCTGGTGCCCCAGAGAACCAAAGTTTTTGAAGTGGTTGAACAAGATACAAACACAAGTTTGATGAGGTTAAGTAAAACCTGTAGTCCTAGCCGGGTGTGGTGGCTCACGCCTGTAATCCCAGAGCTTTGGGAGGCTGAGGCAAGCGAATCACAAGGTCAAGCGATCGAGACCATCCTAGCCAACTTGGTGAAACCCCATCTCTACTAAAAATACAAAAATTAGCTGGAAGTGGTGGCATGCGCCTGTATTCCCAGCTACTTGGGAGGCTGAGGCAGAAGAATCGCTTAAACCCAGGAGACAAGGTTGCCGTGAGCACCAAGATCACGCCACTGAACTCCAGCCTGGTGATGGAGAAAGATTCGGTCTCAAAAGAAAAAAAAAACAAACTGTAGTCCTGAATCTAACTGAAAGGAGTAGCAGAAACTTCACCTTTCATATGAAATTAAACAAACAACAAAAAACTCCCGTGCTTTGTCCATTGAAAAGTCCTAGAATCTTACGCTCAAATTATAGCCTATAAGTGCCATTTTCCACTAAAATAAGTCAGGGTTCCTTGAATAAGTGACTTAATTCAAATACTGAACCATCTCCTCACACAATAAAGCAGGAATGCTAACACAAGTCACTAGGGCTGTGGCGGGCACCCTGTAACACAGCTCCCATTGATTGCCTGGCACTCACACCCTGGCATGTGCCATCCCTGACCTTGAGTGGGGCTGGACCTAGTGAGTCACTTCTAATGACTAGAGCACAAACACACCCAAGTGATGGTCTGTCACTTCTCAGGCAGACTTTCAAGACTATGACTTCTATCTTGCTGGATCTCTCTCTCGTGCCTTCTCTCTTACAGCCCTGGCAGTGAGAAAAGCCAGGGACCACAGAGTGAGGACACCTGTGGACAGAGCCAGCCAGCAGGAAACAGGGGCCTCCCAGCAGCACACCAGACAGCCTGGCAGGGCACCCTCCCCAAACCCACACTGGGACATGACGATGGGAGATGATGACTGGGCAGCCGGCCAGCCAGCTGGCACCCTGACTGCAGCCCTAGGGGGGAGCCCGAGTCACAGGACCCAGCTAAACCCCACCCAGATTCCTGACCCACAGAAACTCTGAGATAATACAAGCTGTGTTTATTTTGTTGTTGTTTGGTTTTTTTGAGACAGAGTTTTGCTCCTGTCACCCAGGCTGGAGTGCAGTGGTGTGATCTGAGCTCACTGCAACCTCCACCTCCTAGGCTCAAGCGATTCTCCTGCCTTAACCTCCCAAGTGGCTGTGACTACAGTCATACACCACTGTGCCTGCCTATTTTTGTATTTTTTTGTAGAGATGAGGTTTGGCTGTGTTGCTCAGGCTGGTCTCAAACTTCTGAGATCAAGCGATCCACCCACCTCAGTCTCCCAAAGTGCTGGGATTACAGGTGTGAGCGACCATGTTTGGTCAATATATATTGTTTTAAGCCCCTACGTTTTGGGGTAATTTGTTACATACTAAGAAAAAACTAATATAAGGACACTGTCAAAAGGACTCAGGAACCAACTTGCATACATTCCTGCTGCCCAAAGTTGAGAAATCTGGGCAGCAAAAAGATAAGAAACCAACCGAAATACATAGAATATATTTAAACACATAAAACTCATAACTTAAAAATAAAAACTTAATGGTCCCCTCTCAAGGATCAAAGGATCTGTCTCATTATTTTGAAAACTGTTAAGTAAACAGAAAGAATCAAGCATTTATCTTGCATTTCCAAAACTGTACTTCAAGTAATCAAAGAACAGTGAAAGAAAGTTTCTCTTTTAGAGATATTCCAGCTAAAAAAATAAAGAAGAAATGACAGAATTAAAACATCATTTTGTCACCGCTGGTGAATTAATGGCTCTAGGGAGGGACCACCAATCGTTACCAGGCCAGCCACTGTGAGAAAACCAGGTACGAGGTGCATTCTACCTGAAGTACCAACGCCCCTCGCCCCAGGGTTCCTGTCCTTTCCTCGCTGGGAAGGCCTGGCTCTGACCTAGAGCTGCTCTGTAGGGAACCAGCAGGCATGACAAGTGTTAAGTGAGAACATGCCAACATCCTCAGGCAGGGGAATTAGCAAAGTCTAGCCTGTGGGAAAGGCGGCAGGGTAAATGACCCAGCATATTCCAAATGATGACAAATTGCAAAGAATATAAAGATAGAAGGGAACGCTAAAGCCAAAAAAGACATTAAAGACATATCGACCAACTGGATCCCAATTTAAACAGAAAAAGCACTTTAAAAATAATAACCTTTTGGAAGACTGAGGCGGGTGGATCACCTGAGGTCAGGGTTCAAGACCAGCCTGGACAACCTGGCGAAACCCCGTCTCTACTAAAAATACAAAAAAAACAGCCGAGCGTGGTGGCAGGCACCTATAATCCCAGTTACTTAGGAGATTGAGGCAGGAGAATCGGTTGAACCCAGGAGGCGGAGGTTGCAGTGAGCCAAGATGGCACCACTGCACTCCAGCCTGGGTGACAAAAGCAAAATTCCGTCTCAAAAAAAAAAAATTATTAAGGTATGTAGAGAAATATTAGCGCGGACCAGATATTTGATGATATTAAGAAATTATTACTAACATTATAGGTGTCATAATAGTATTATGACTTTAAAAAAAGCTTTTAGAAATACATATTGAAATATTTACAAATCAAATAACATGTTGCCTGGGATTTGCTTTAAAATAATCCAGGTACGGGGAAACCAGCTAAGGGATAACATCCTGACCAGCTCAGATGAACAGAGGCAGAATAAATATCAGTTGTGAACAATTAAACCCAAAAAGCATTTGCAGTAAACACCATGCGGGAACTACAGTAGGTTCCCAGGGCCAAGTTTTACATTTCCAAGCCTGAAAAGTGCTTCCACTCCAACCCATCAGGAGTGGGGCAATTCCAATGTGGAGCCAAAAGTAAGAACTGCTTCAGGAGCACCCCATGTTCATGTGGCTATAAAACAATTACTTCACAAAATTAAACCTTTCCTACAGCATTCAACTACCAAAGCACGTCCTGCTCAACAAGAGAACAAAACCCCTGGATTTATTTATATCACTGACAGCCACATCTCGAGTCCTCCCATTCCCACAGCAGGTCATTCTCCATCACTAACCTAATGTACCTAGAGCTTTCATCTTGAAACCACTATTATCAACGAATACCACTCATGAACACAAAATTATCCAGCTACCTAGAAAATTAGAAGTGATTGTGTTAATGCTCACATTTACTTGTCAATTCTTGCCTATAAAACGAAGTAATGTGGCTCATACCATGCCCACCACTCCTGCTGGAAGCCACCATAATTCCCCGTCTCAGAACTTTACGCCTTTGGAGCAGCTAAATCTAAAGGGCCCTCCACATGATCATGTATTCTAACCTGCAGGTAATAAGGGCAGTGCATTCCTAGTTTTAAATTAACATCCATTGAGGAGCACTAGGAGCGATACTGACTGAAAGACTGTTTACACAATATGAGTTTTTATTAGCCATTTCTAACATGAAAACTGGAGA